CCATGAAGCTACAAACTTTTTGGAACGTATTTTTGATTCTAAATCAATTGACTATTTCCGTGAACTCTACTTTGGCACGGAAACTAACAGTTCAGATTATTTGCGATGTCAACTTGAAAGAGCTTACAGTGACCTTCTATTTGTTTGTCCGACTTATATCTTTGGTCATCAATATGCTTCTAATTTAGGCAAACAGGGCGGTAAAGTGTATGCTTATTTCCACACACAGAGACCAAAAGCTTATCTTTCTTTTTTTAACGAATGGATGGGAACATTTCATTCATCTGATATTCCATATGTTTTCGGTTTACCTCTGATAAAATCTGGTTATTCACAGAAAGATATTTCATTGAGTCGTGAAATGATGAAAATCTGGGCTCATTTCGCTGAAAATGGGTAAGTCTATTCATTTCATCGAGTAATCAATTTAATGACTTCGATCTGTTATTTATTTACAGTAAGCCTCCAATGGTTGGTGAAACTAAATGGAAACCATTCCAAGAAAAGATATCAGCAATGATACTAAACATAGATGATTGGGGAAAAACTGAAACTGAAAGAGTGGAATTTTGTCTCAAACAATGGGATTATATATATCCACACGTTAGTAAGAAAAGAAATCAAAGTTCATCATTTTAATTGTTTATCCCAGAGCAAGTACCTATGCAACAGGAAAACTCAATTTGAATCAAATTTTCTTTATTGTCTTACCCGACAAAAAATGTGCTATAAGAAGATATTATCTAGGTTATTGCTCATTGATTATTTTTTAATATGATAAAATTTAAATATTTTACGTTCTTTTCAAGAAATTCATTTTATGAATGGTAAATAATAATAATAATTTTCTTATCAAAATTCATGGTCTTGAGTAGCAGAAAAAAATACGCTACTGTGGTACAGACCAGAACTGAATATATTTCCGGTTATTAACATTCAATTTAAATTTTCAGCAGCTCCAGTTTTCAACGGCTTAATTGACATTCAGCATAAATCAGCGTAATCAACGTACAATAATTCAGACGATTTTGAAAAATAGTCGAAAATTGATTTAAATTTCAATATTTTTTGGATCCTAACAGCAATGATAGATGTTGATATAAAAATATATTTATATTTACTTGAAAAGTATTTGCTTTAAATTTGATCCGAACAAACGATTTAAAATTTTAGGCCGGTTTTAGAGGTTTTTAAGTTATATATTTATGCATGTCATATAAGTACATTGTTGTAATTATCGAAGCGTAGTGACACGAAGTGAAGATTTTAACGCAGCGCATCCATTTCGTTTCTATTTTGTTTTGAAATTTGAATTATCATAACTGTAAATTGTTCAAAATTGAAAATGAAACGCGGTTAGTACGCAAGTCCTCGTAATTCACTGAAAATCAACAAATTATGTATGTGAGGTTCTTTACATCATTTGAAAAACTTCTTTTTACAAACTAACGAATAAATCTTTAGTAATCTTTTTTCTTTCTAATTTTTGAGGCTAGCTCCAATCAACATGCCTAATATCTGCTGTTTTTTCGATGTAAAAGGCTTTCATGTCAACAACATGTTTATTCCACGTGAAGCTTCGATTGTTGAAGAAAATGCCACTCTCCAGGCAGGTTCAAACGGTTAATATCCGGTGAACTTGGCTGACACTCTTGAAAAGTATATCTTAATCAATGGTGAATCTCATTGATTTTATTGATAAAAAATCGCTGATTTAACAAGGATGTTAACTAATTCTGCATGAATTTTTTTGTTTTGCAATTTTCATTTATCCCGCGTCATCAGTAAATTTAATTAACTCGCGTAACAAATGGGTTCCTGAATGTAACCAAGCCCAACCTCCAGTTTCAAGCTCACTGGGCCAACTTGATTTGTTTTTCTGATTTTTTTCAGATTCTACTTGGTTCTTTTGGTTTAGTAATGGTAGTAAATATTGGTTTCGTTAGTGCTAACTTATTTCTTATCTTATTTTTTAATTTGGTACTGAATCTTGGAGGAGTTGGTTCTAAATCTAGAGGGAGTCGGTACTGACTCAATTTCTAGAGAAGCGTAGAAGATTTCGTTTGAAAACGCGATCTTTCAATCGCAACCAGATGTAATTCTAACGCAGGTCTGCACAATAATATTGATTTTTCAACATGAAAACTAAAATTTTACTCAATGTGATTTGGATATTTAAACCGTAATAAATCAATAAGCAATAATCACAGAAGGTTGAAACTTTGTATGAATGATTTTGAAGATTAAAAATTATGAAATGACTCTCATTTGACCTATAAAGTCCTCCTGAGCATTTCCCGCAAAATGACCTTGTACGACATCGACCTTGAAATATGGCAAATAAGTATTGGCGAAACGTGCGTAAACACAATATTGGGTCAATCGGTCAACTTGGGTCTGAATAATAGCCAAAACAAAACATACCTTTTAGCGAACTTGCCCTGTATATTGTTATAATAATTAGCTACAACCAAAGAAAGAAGTAGAAAGCAATGAAAAACCTAAAAGGAAAAAGATTGGATGAAGTTATATGCACAGAATTTACAACTTTAACCTTGCCCATCTAACGAAAATGATCTGAATTAAATCGAATTCAACGGTCAAACACAGCTTGCAAATTTTGCCAATCAAATAACGCTAATAGTTTGAGTTTTGTTGTCAGCAGTATGCATAAAAATGCAAGTTTTTGGTTTCATCAAGATAGCATTACAAAATTTCAATTATAAATTGATGAAAAAAATTTTTTCGGTGGTAAATTTTTTTAATATTGGATCCAACAGACTCTGATACATAATCTTTTCAGCACGAAAATCTAAAATTTTTAATTCTATTGTTTTCCAGCAATCTCATTAGATTTATTGATTTTTTGCACCTAGTCACAAGTTAATGATTTATTCGAGATAATAACATAAATTTGCTGCTGAGTTGGCTATATAAAAATAGACGAGCTTTTATGATGTGTGATTAATGTTTATTTAAAATGAATATTTTGTTATTGTTTTTTTTCATTTTTTCGCCCATTCATGGACTCAATTTAACTCCAATAGTTAATTTGACTAGTGGTCCCATCCAAGGTAAAGTTACTGAATATGAATCGATTGGTGTTTACCAGTTTCTTGGTATTCCTTATGCGAAGCCACCGGTTGGTAAGTTGAGGTTACAGTTACCAGTTAAACCAGACCCATGGACTGAGGTTAAATCAGCGACTGACTTTGGTCCAGCTTGTCTCCAACCAGGAAATCCAATTACAAATATGCCTTATGCGGGAAAAACTGGTGAAGACTGTCTTTATCTTAATATCTATGTTACTGAATCAACTTTTAATAACTCATCAAACAAACTACGACCAGTACTATTCTGGATTCATGGTGGGGCTTTAACATCAGGATCTGGCAATGCAGACGCTGAAGGAATTCCAATGGTCCCGTTACATGATATTATATTTGTTACTATTAATTATCGTCTTAATGCATTCGGTTTCATCTACTTCGGAGCCAATCAGCCTCGAATCCCTCAAAATATTGGTTTTAAAGATCAACTATTTGCTTTGAAATGGGTTCATGAAAATATTCATATGTTTGGTGGTGATCCGAATAGTGTGACAATTTCTGGTGAATCTGCCGGATCATGGTCAGTTTCTGCACATCTATTGTCCCCACTTTCCAAAGGACTCTTCAAACGAGCCATACTTGAGTCAGGATCAGTTTACATAAACCATGATTTAGATACATTGATTACTGATTCTTGGAAGCTTTACAACAAAACATCATGTTCAAATTCGGAAGATGTTCTTGAATGCATGCAAAATTTGACTGCTCTTGAAATCCTAAATGGTTTAGGTAATGAATTCGTAACATATTCCTTCACAGTTGGTGACGATTTCCTTCCATACGAACCATCACAAATTCTTGCAGAAGGATTATACGATAATTCAGTTAACATTCTACTAGGCGTTGAAAAGAACGAAGCTTCAATGTTCATGACAGGTATCAATCCCATTGCTTTCAATTACTTTTCCCCTAAGCCGATATCTTTTCATGAAGCTAAAAACTTCTTGGAACGTATTTTTGATTCTGCATCAATTGACTATTTCCGTGAACTCTACATTGGTCCAGAAACTAACAATTCAGATTATTTGCGAGCTCAACTCGAAAGAGCTTACAGTGACCTTTTATTTGTTTGTCCGACTTATATCTTTGGGCATCAATATGGTTCTAATTTAGGTACAAAGGGTGGTAAAGTTTATGCTTATTTCCACACACAAAGACCAAAAGCTTATCTTCCTCTTTTCCACGAATGGATGGGAACTTTCCATTCTTGTGATATTCCATATGTTTTCGGTTTACCTCTGATAAAGCCTGGTTATTCACAGAAAGATATTTCATTGAGTCGTGAAATGATGAAAATCTGGGCTCATTTTGCTGAAAATGGGTAAGTCTATTCAATCATCGAGTAATCAATTTAATGACTTCGATCTGTTATTTATTTACAGTGAGCCTCCAATGGTTGGTGAAACTAAATGGAAACCATTCCAAGAAAAGATGTCAGCAATGATACTAAACATAGATGATTGGGGAAAAACTGAAACGGAAAGAGTTGAATTTTGTCGGAAAGAATGGGATTATTTATATCCACACGTTAGTAAGAAAAGAAATCAAAGTTCATCATTTTAATTGTAAATTCCATAGCAAGTACCTATGCAACAGGAAAACTCAATTCGAATCAAATTTTCTTTATTTTCTTACCCGACAAAAAATGTGCTATAAGAAGATATTATCTAGGTTATTGCTCATTGATTATTTTTTAATATGAATAATAATTTGAATAATTTTACGTTCTTTTCAAGAAATTCATTTTATGAATGGTAAATAATAATAATAATTTTCTTATCAAAATTCATGGTCTTGAGTAGCAGAAAAAAATACGCTACTGTGGTACAGACCAGAACTGAATATATTTCCGGTTATTAACATTCAATTTAAATTTTCAGCAGCTCCAGTTTTCAACGGCTTAATTGACATTCAGCATAAATCAGCGTAATCAACGTACAATAATTCAGACGATTTTGAAAAATAGTCGAAAATTGACTTGAATTTCAATATTTTTTGGATCCTAACAGCAATTCTTCCTCCTGCCCAGACTCCACACCACACCATAATTTTATCAGCGCCTAGAGCATTTCCCTCGAAAGTCTTATTTGGATTTGATGAGTCCCAATAAACACAATTGTGCCTATTGACTGTTTGCGACAGAGTGAATACCGCCTCATCAGTCCAAATAATTCTTCCGAGGAGATCTGGCTCTTCTTCCAGTCTAACTAAAACCGTATCACACCACTCGACTCTTCTATCGAAATCATCCTCATTGAGTTTGTGCATGAGTTTGATGTGATACGGTTTTAGTTTCAAATCTTTCCTCAAAATCCGCCAGGCTGTGGGCTGTGACATACCAGTCAAGCTTGCAATTCTCGATGAGGACAGAGACAAACCATCTTGAGATGCCTTACTCGCGAGAGTGCGTACATTCTCGATAGCTTCTTCTGTCCTCACAATTCTTTCTCTTTTTCTCTGGTATGTCACAGACCCATACTCTCGAAAGACCTTATAAAGGTGTCTGAATGTGCCTGGTGCAATCTTTAGAAATCTTTGATTCCAAGCTAACTTTACAGCTCGCAATGCCTCCGTGCAGGATTTTTTTGAAGCTAAATAAAACTCCAAAAGATCAATCTTTTGAGCTTTAGTGAATTTGTGAGACATTTTGATGACAGTTTGATAAAATGATTTAATGAAAATGATTAACAAGAAAATCGCAAAATTGAAATTTTAAAGTGAGTTTGATTGCTTTAAGTTTGAATAAATGAGGTTACGCTTATGCCAGAGTGATAAATCTTGACCTTACCGATTATTCGACCTTGAAAATTATCATGCACCCTTCGTTTGACCTCTAATAGCATTAGGAGCGATTTCCGACAAATGACCTTGAATGACCTTGACCTTGAAATATAGCAAATAAGTATCGGCGAAACTTAATTATAGAAAATCTGACCCCTCAAGGTCAATCACAGGCCAAGATATAGCCGTTTAACATCGGTAAAAATAGCTGAATAGCCCTGTAAGTGTTGATATAAAAATATATTTATATTTATTTGCTTGATATTTGATCCGGACAAACGATTTAAAATTTTAGGCCGGTTTTAGAGGTTTTTAGGTTATATATTTATGCATGACATATAAGTACATTGTTGTAATTATCATATGACTAATTAACAGTTATTGATCATATTTAATGATCAAAATGATCAGAACATTCCACAGTTAACGGTAAAATTTCGAGTTAAAAAATTCTTATTCGTGCTTCTTTAGTTTATGAGTTTAAATTAGGTTCTAAACCCGGTGATTGTTACCCAAGGGTCATCAAAGCGTTCGATGAGGATGCAATAAGTGAGGTTACGGTGAAAAGATGGTTCTCTAAGTTCAAATCTGGTGCCCTCAGCATCGAAGACAAACTAAGGAGAAATGTCGCGAAAAATGTCAAAAATAAGCTGGCTGAATTGAAAAGGGAAGTTCTGCCTCACCTGCTTATTCGCCAGACATTGCTCTACCTGATAACCACCTTTTCTTGTCAATGTCCAACGCTTTACGTGGTCAAAAGTTCCAATCAGATTCGGAGGTCAAATCGGCAATTGATAACTTCCTGACCTTTAAGCCGATTGACTTTTTCAAGAATGGCATTGAAAATCCTCAATCCTGAATGCATTGCAATAACAAAAAATTAAATAATCACACTCAAATTTGAGTTCAATAAAACAGTAGTTTAGTTTGACAATCGTTCGAATAAGTTTTCAAAAGTTTTTCTTGCAACAATCACTTGTAAATTAACAGTTGACCGCTAAGAGGAAGACTTTACTCAAGAAAACTGAGTCATTAAGAAAAATCATTTTAAGATTAAACTTAAAATTAACATTAACATTACATTGCTTATCTCACCAACGGGTTAAAACAGTAATGAGTAACTAGATCGAAAGGCATCTTCACCAATTGAAACTCTTTTAGGGAGTCTGATATTTTATTTTAAAATTTAAGCTTGTATATTTTTAAAGATACATATACAATGTAAATAACCCTTCTGGTCACTTCTAAATAAATTCACAAAAAAGCGGACTTCGATTTCGTATATCATTCGAATTAAAAAGATCAGAAGGTTACGCTGCTGCTGATGATAAAATTTCGATCTTTTATTCTGCAAAAATCCTTTTCGATATTTGAAATCGAAGTCATTTTTAAGTGAATTCATTTTGCATTGATGAAAATTCGGTTTTTCACCGAATGTGCTTGAAATTGTGTTACGATAGTTTTTCTGAACCTTTCAATCGATCTATGTTGAGTTATATCAAGCAAATTACATCTTTTTTAACAGCTTTGAGTACATTGTGTGTGTTGTGTGAATTGTGTCGACCATGTTACAATTGTAGGAAACCATTTAGATGTCTACAGAGGCCCCAGTTAGGTACTACAGTCACCATTCAGATACTAATTTTTCCTTCATTTGTTGTACTTGTGTTTGCAGCTGAGTTACTTCTTTGTTGGGTGCATCGAACGTTGTTGAGCAACTAGCCGCTTCAACCAATTCATGCAAAGTTTTTGGGTTCTGGAGAGCAATCCCGTATTTAATTTGTGGTAACAATTTCTCCTTTATCATGTTAATGATAAAAACTTCAGGTGTTTTTCATGGATTCTTCTGCATAATTCATGAATTTCGTAAATAAAAGCGATGGCTGATTGACCAATCTTTTGTTTAGATTTGTAAAGTTCCTGTGAAAAGTAAGACTTGTAGTCTGCAGGACTCAAATCTGCAATCATTCTTGTTTTAAGTTCATGATAGTCTTTGTGTTTTGTGATAGCGCCACCATACCGTTTTGTGTATCAGGTGCGCTAGCTACAT